GGGAGGAAAAATGCAAGAGAATAGAGTCAATCCAAAACAAGCAATCCCAGGAACCGCCTAACAGCAAAAATCACTGCTTGTTTGGAATTTGGAAAGGCAAAAACCTAAATAAAAACTACCTCTTCATGCATTTGGTAATATCGCCATTGTGTTGGAATCCTCGATTAGGCCGAGGAATGGGGCTGAAATAGCATCATAGAAATAGTAGTCGAACCAACAACAATCAACTACGCCCGTAATGATATCCATACCACTACTATCGTCAAATTATCAAACAATTTCATCCGTTTATAAAATGTGGTTCGAGGAACTATATGTGGAGCAATTCGACCCCCACCTCAACCACCATACAAGAGTAATAGAGCTTCTTGGTATAGACAAAATATGGTCCAGATATTTAACACTTACATGCCTACCAAACAAAACAGTACAATCCTTAACTAGAAACAGTTATAGAATATCTCATTTTGGAGTCAAAATGGAGCGGTTAATGTTCGACGGAGAGTTTGCTTCGTGGGATCTTGAGCAGCTGCTGCTAGATGTAACTGCCATAACCCAAACGCACAACACTCCATTAGAACCATGTAGTGCTCAAATTGACTAATGAAAAATATTTCAGTTAGTCTGTTGAATACACACATGCAATAGGATCGTTCACTCAAATCATGACATCTCAAACCACTCAAGTCACTCCAGCTTGGACATTGAATGAGCTCCATCCATTGTGTCTCACGATTTGAGTAAACAATCCTACCACCACTACATTCAGACCAGTCCACTGAAATTCTCGAGATTAATGGGGTGGGGTTTCCTTTTATCAACTACTAAATTATCGAAATCTACCTGTCGTTGCTGGTTCTTGAGCCTGGCATTCTCTTCCAGCAGGTGTGCCACTTCTATCTCTAACTCATTCGTATAAGCCTATAATAACGTGCAATGAATAGAAACAAGAGTAGAAAAAGGACAACGGAATACCCAAAAATAAGCATTCAATTTAAAGATGAGAAGGTTTAAACTTCAAGCAGCCTGCAAAATCTATTCTATAATATGAACTCACAGCCAAAGCTAACAAAAGGCTAAATACTGATCCTAATAACTACCGGAAATGTTAATAAAAAGGCAGATAAAAGAAATATAAAAAAGAGACTTTCCTGCTTTCTAGCCCTTGATCTAGCAGCTGACTCCCGGTTCTTGATCATACGCTTGTGTCGTCGATCACCGGCAAAATTGCTGTCAGGCTCCGTCAACCTCTTCTTTCCATGATAAGAAGCCACAGTGACACAACACGAAGAAGAAACAGTTTGGGGCTGTGAATGAGAGGTTTGGTTAAGAGGATCTGAGTTTCCCAAGAAATGGAACCGTTCAGGTATTGAGTTCAAGGTGAGCATAGTTGTCGGAGGTGGTGGTGGAGGCGCCGGAGAAGCAAAGCCCGATGTTACGATAGCAGCGGCCACTGAATCTTTATTAGAACAGGGCCTGGCCAAGAAATCTTGGAGGATCATCCCACGGAAGTCTGGGGGCTTGTCGTTAAGAGATGCAAGATTGATATCATCCCAAACTTCTTCCATAGCTCTGAATCTTGAATTTATGTCCACATTTATGGAGGTCGAGGAGAGGGAAATGGAGAAAATGTCAGAACATTTAGGGTTAGAAATATGTAGTTAGTTGAGTACACGTACACTGGTTTCAGGGTTTAGTAGTGCTTGATCTGAAGGAAAATGGTTGTCTGAATCTCTGTGAATTGTCTTTTCTAAATGGTGCAAAGTACACACGTCGATGTGTGACACTTCAGCGGATCAGCTTTCAAGCGTTCAATATAGAATCGTAATCTGCCTCCTGGAACATAATTCAGTGGTGCAAAGGACGGGAGTGAGATTAACTTACGCTTTGTTGACAGTTGCAGTATGGGGGTTCGATTTTTGAGATATGGAATTGGAATCCTTGTAAGCACAGTGTACATGCAGCTCATATTTCCTGATCTGTTGGAATATATCCCGCGATTTATCTCTCTCATAAAGTTTTAAGAGTGGGCGATGAGGGCCTCAAAATTGGGATCAATCTTTTTTTTTTTTTTTTTTTTTTTTTTTTTT